AAATCCAAAATATTTTATAATATCATTTAATTTAAAATGTATTATTGACAACTGTAAGAAAATAATACACTACATTATTTATAATACAAAAATTAATAAATAAAATAAAAGATTTGGTCATCAATGTAGAAATTATTACAATGCGTACCAATTTTCTTTATTTTTTTAGGTTTCTAGAATAAATTAGTGGAAGAGATTGTTAGTAGAAAGAGAGAGATTTCAAATGGCCTCATTGTATGAATCCTATCTTTAAATTAATATTACTAAATTTATGTTAAAGACTATCATGTTATAAAAATAAAAAATATAATTAGACCATTTATTCCTAGGTTGTATTAAGAAATACCTTTTATTTTTTGGACAAGAAATACTTATTGTGTTATCTTTTATTATTTTTTAACAAGAAAAATATGATACTTGTTTATTATCTTTTCTTTTTTTTTTTGACGAAAAAAGAAGATGTTGTACTACATTTTTTTTTTGCTTGTTGTATTACTTTTTATTTTTTTTTATCCTATGAGCTAGTACTAATTTTTTAATCCTAATTAACTAATAAATTAATTATTACTCATATAATAAAATAATACCATGATATAATAGCTTAATAGAGTTTTTATGTTTTTTTGGTAAGTAAATTTAATTTTTTTTTGTGAAAGATAGGGGTGATGGGCACCTAATTATTATTTTAAATACTTTTGTTCTTTTTTTATCATCAAATTTCATTGCCACAATCGGACATACAACTTTCTTATTCATGACAGGCGTACACCGTTGTGCGTACACCATCGCGCATACATCATCTCACTGCAATTTATCCCAACTAATAATATTTGACAGCGTTTTTTCAACTCACAGATATATCCGACATCGAAGCGATGTGAGAAGAATGAATACTATAAAAAAACACTCAACGATGTGTTTGTGTTGAATGTTGTTTTGGCAGCGTATTGCACTTTGAGACTTTTTAAGCTGACAATCACGTGGGGGAAGGCCACGTGGGGGAGTGGGGGAGTAAGGCCACGTGGGGGAGTGGGGTAGTAAGGCCACGTACGGTGGTGTGCCATGATTGACAATCACGTGGAGGAGTGGGGGGAGTAAGGCCAGATTGGCAATCACGTGGGGGAGTAAGGCCACGTAAGGTGGTGTGTCATGATTGGCAATCACATGGGGGAGTGGAGGAGTAAGGCCACGTAAGGTGGTGTGCCATGATTGGCAATCACGTGGGGGAGTAGGGGAGTATGGCCACGTAAGGTGGTGTGTCATGATTGGCAATCATGTGGGGTAGTGGGGGAGTAAGGCCATGTAAGGTAGAGTATCATGATTGACAATCACATGGGGGCAATAAGGCCACGTAATGCCATGATTGACAATGGGGAGTGGGGGGAGTAAGGCCACGTAATGCCATGATTGGCAATCACATGGGGGAGTAAGGCAACGTAAGGTGGAGTGAGGGAGTAAGGCCACATAAGGTGGAGTGGGGGAGTAAGGCCACGTAAGGTGGAGTGGGGGATACCATGATTGGCAATCACGATGGGGGAGTAAGGCA